AATAAAAGCAGAATCAGGACGGAATTACACAGAATCGCTATATTGCAAATGAGGGCTGACACCTGAGGAAAGGTTTGGATGAAGAAAAACTGAAATGTTGTACTCTTATTCATTAAATGTACTGAACCAAATGCCTATATCAAAGAACATGATAGTGTAGAGTATATTATAGTGGAGGCCTACTTAGGAAAAAGTAGACCTTCTGGATTTCTCTCACATTGTGCAGTTTTTGAGCACAAAACACTAACCCTGACTCATAATTGAACCAATATTACACTTCCGATTACAGTTCCAATAATAAACTCAATTTTAACTTCAAGCACATTAACAATGTCACGGTTAACTTTGGCTGTGAATTAAGTCTTAAGTCTGAAGTCAGCCAGGAGAGTCACAAAGAACATTTCATTGTGGAAAATGTAAGATTGAGGGTATGGCCTATACAAAGTCAGTATATCACCCTCTGGTCCTTCAATTATGACAATTATGTCTCTTGCCAGTTATGGACATGCAATTTTCAATTTCTGGAACACCTATTTAAACACCTCACCCTGGGCTATAACTTTTAATTAACCTGCGCAATTACAACTCTAATTTACTTATTAGAGATGAGGTTAAGTTGTACTAAGGTTTTATTACAGAGCTCAGAGAAATACGTTTTTATGCCTCGTAATAACATTGCCAGGGCCCCAAGTCCTAACTCTCTCTCCTTCCCATCTCGCGCGCACACACACACACACACACACACACACACACACACACACACACACACACACACACACACACACCACACACACACACACACACACACACACACACACACACCTAAATAAAAGAAACATGGATGGAAGAGATGGCCAGTTTTAAAAATATAGACTTCAGTTTATTGCACAATCGTTGCTGGAGACTGAGGAGTGCAAGGGCCTGTCTGTTACACAGGACACTGATGTTTGACAGATGTGTGAAACAACAGCACAGGAACAAAATGTGTTTGTGCACACACACCGGATAATGAGGAACTCTGGGGATGCAGTCAGCCCCCGTCAGTGCATAAGGGAGAAATGAATGTTGACAACAGATTTAATGCTTGTGTGGACTCTGCAGGAGAGCTCATACACACATGTTAACATACATGGTTAGGAAATATAAATAAAAAGTAACTGCAAACCAACGCAGACAGTATTACAAGATGTCAATTATTTTCATTTGCCTGCAGTATGGCTACAATAATGCCTGCATCAGTGCACATGAACTTTCACTAGATGGAGCCACGCTTACTCCTTTGTCAGTTAGAAAATGTGACATTGCACATATGAAATGATTATAACAGACAGACCCTCCATAAATCTCCCTTCATCCTAAAAGGGCTTGTCTCTTTATCTGTACACATTGACCAGTGTCATTATTAGGATCCACAGAATTACAGTTATCAGAATAATTAGAATATAACAATACAGGTAGTCGATTATAAACAGGTCATTAACAGGCTATCCGGCACCTGTGTTATATTAAAAAATGAATTTTGTTATGTTAGTTATGTGTTCCTACATCTCGTCATTTTTTCATTTAACACACAGCAGAAGGACAACATTTGTCTGGCCAGGTTTCACTCCTGTAACATGGTTTTCTGAGAAATATTCCACCATCTTTGTCCCTTCTGTCCAATCTGTTACCCAGTTAATATGAACAAGTTGGACACATAGGACAGGCGGAGGTCAATGGAGGTCTTGCAGCCATGTTTCAGACAGCAGAGGACAGGCCTTGAATGTTACAGCTACTGTTATGGCACCCTGAGAAGTGGGAGACCCAGGATGTTGGCGCAAATCCCTCCGTTACAGCGTATCAGCTGTTTCAAACAAACACAAAAAACGGACTTCACTGTTACGTATCCTTCGGCTGATAATGCATAGATAGACCAGTGGTAGTCACGAGGTATTCACATGCCTGCCAAGATTCCCCACAATAGTAACAAATCATTCCTTACCAACATAAAGAAAATGGTTACATTTAAATAGTCAACGCATTCTTAGTTAGGGTCACAAAAAGGTCAAACAACTCTACATTAGCACTGAAAACATTATTTTCTGTGTTCACATACATATGGACACATCTAAGCAAACACACATCTTGGATATTAATCTGAAGCTCAGCACCGAGCAACGTCCCTCACTCATATTTCCCTTGGCTGTGATAGAGAGCAGCCGCTTCTGTGAGGCAAAATCCAATTTCTTCTTATCCTATATTTTATTCCCTTAACATATTGTGTATGTATCCAAAGAAAATTAAACGGGGTATATCGTTTGCATTGTATGTATATATAATCTACATACATGTATTTACATTATTTATATGGACTTTAAATGTTTCAAAACTCTAAATTTACTTTAATCCGAAGCCCTTTTAAGAATTATGAAGAGTGCAGTTTATTTGAAATTGATGTTATGCCTTTTGATCTTTGAAAACCTCCCACTACCCACAGTCTTTTCCTGGAGCGAGTGACATGGCCTGCGGATGGCTACAATAAACAAACAATTTCCTAACAATATGAGACATCAGCATCTGTTTTATAGCTACTTTCATGCATATTTTGTTCAGTTTCATTCAGTGGCCAATAACACATTAGTTTCAGCTTTTACATTGCACCACAGTCATATAGGTAATTATCACTGGGTCAGAGTGAAACTAGCAGACATTAGGTGTCTGACTTTTAATCAAGGGGAGGTGGGGAGGACGCAGACTGGGACTTGTGTACATGATTAAGACCGTGTGAAATCTGTCTTCACCTATGAGTCAGTGTTAGCACAGGAAGCAGAGGGTGTGCTACACCTCGATCTCTGCTAATTTGGCAAGATAAAGTGTGTCTGACGGGATTGGCAACTAGTCAGTGGGCAGCTGTGACTGTTGGCATGGGAAACAAGTGCAAAGTCATTAAGAAAGTAAAGTCAGCCTGTGGAAAATAAATCAACCACTAGTCTTGAGCATGAAGGAACAGAGCAACAGTTTCTTTTACTCAAGAGTAGTGCCGGAGATACCACAGAGGAACACAGTGGCAAAACAATCATGGACATTCACACAGAACTGATACATAAGAGGAGGGACAGGGGTTCATTCCCGTTGGTTCTCAGCCAGTTCAACACAACTCTGCTCTTAAAAAGAGTGTCTAACCTCTATTCAGGTAAAACATATCTACTCACAGAACATAAATCCAGCTGCAGAGCATATTCGGCGCATTTAAATAAGAAAACATAAATATTGGCAATAAAGTGCACCATTCTGTGGCAACAGTGAGTGACCCTTATAATCCATCAATCAACAGTCAGTGTACAGGCAAACATCCAAATACATAAAAAACCTTTTCATTCAACTTCAAAAAAAGGACCTAACATCCTTAAAATCTAAGATCATATTCCTATTCTGTAAGAATGTTTTGCTTGCCGATTATTGTGATTGTTATTGTAAATGGCAATGCATAGAGACACATCATTTTTAACAATATTACTGAGGGACAGAAGTCAAAAATCATTTTGGAAAAGTTGTGTAGGGAGAATATATGAGGAGCTAATCCTCTGGATGTGCACAGTTAGAATAAAACAGAAGATTTTCTCTGACCTCTATCTTGATCTGTCGTCCTGCACAGCAGTGATTTGTTTAAACAGCCGGCAGAAACACGATGTTACCTGTATCTGTAAGTTAATAGAACTGAGTAAAACGCGTAACAATTTGAAACAGTTCATAACAGTATTTTGTGCATAATGTTCCAATAGTCAGTTACAGTGTAAAGATATTTAATTATTTAGGAACTAACAATTACAATCAACAAAATATGGAAATGTAACTTTCCTTTAACTTTCAGTGATATATATATATATATATAGTGTTATTTCAGTGTGATATTTATCATCATAGTGCCTGTTCATATCTGTTCTGTCATTTTCAAGTGCACATAGGCAGGCTCTTCTACAGAACAAATGTGCATAAAAGATTTGAACGCAGCTTATAACTTCAAAGTTATAAAACCTCAACTTCAATAAATATAAATAGTGGTTACAATCGTCCTTACAATGGCAGATTTCTACAAATGTAAACAAATAAATAGGACTTTGCTTGGTCACCAAAGCAAATTTGGTGGACAATAATGCCTCTGAAAAACATGTGTGCAAAATGTGTGCACTAGTCACGTGCAACCTAAAGCAAGTGAACTGTTAACATGCTAGCAACCTCAGGAATGAACCCCCGCACCTATCTTAATTTCCTCATCATCATGTGACATCACTGAAAAATCAGACCGACACAGGAAAAAAGAGGCAGTGGCAAAAAAACAAGTAAACAGGGACAGAAGAACCAGTCCAGTAAAACTCTGTCAGTTGGACGTAGTGAAACTCTATGAGTGCTTTGTGCAGCACTAACAGTATATATACATGTAGTACAAAAAAAAAAGTGTGAGGTTGTCTGAGAGTGTGTGTTGCATGTGTGATGTGCATGACATATAGATGTGCTGCATAGGTAGCAACAGTGACATCTGAGAGGACTGAGCATCAGATATTTTCAAGCCTAGAACCGTCTTCACCAACCAAACTAACCAATGCTTTAGTAAAACTTCTGTTATTAGGCTAAGGCTTCAAACTCAGCCTAACCTTTACTAGAACCTTTAATTAAGACGTCATAGTGTTCAATACTCAGTCCTTATATTTAGTGTTTAAAATGTACCATTGTGTGTGTAAGTGTGTTTGCCCGTATACACCTGTGTTTGTATGTGTGTACGTAATTGTGTTTATGTGTGTGTCCGTAGACACCTGTGTGTCCATGTTTACGAAAAGACACAGAGTCAAAATGCTTGTGCATGTAGTTTGACATACTTTAGCCTGCATTGGCACAAAGTACCTAGATGGATGTAGATATGAACATTCTGAATTTGAGTGCATGAGGTGAACACATGCACGTACAACACCTCGCTGCATTAGTTCCCCCTGATGACCCCTCCTCCCCCTCCCCTACGCAAACACCCCCCTCCCCTCAGAGGTCCTTGAACCTTAGATCCTAGTGCTCCTTGTGAGGGGGTGGGGTCAGCAGGGGGGGTCAGTCTGAGGGACAGTTGTAGCTGTTGATCCACAGCAGGTCGTCCAGCACACCCCAGTGCAGGTAGAGAATGGAGCCTACCACCAGTACATGCATGATCTGGTGGCTGTTGCACCAGTAGTCAAAGAGACCGGGGCGGAAACGCTCCGGAATGCGTGTGATGTTGATGACCCCGCCCAGCACGGCCAGCACATCCATCATGAGGAAGTGGCGTAGCGAGGTGGGGCTACCGCCACCCATGCCCACCCCGCGCAGGAGAAAGAAGGAGAAGCGGAACAGCGCCTGCCAGGCAAAGGAGCGCAAGCGGCGGACGCTGCTCCGCGCGGTGACGGCACAGTAGATGGCGTGGCTGGACAGCAGGATGTAGACTAACAGGGCCACAGTGCGGATGAAAGGGTAGCACAGCAGCGTGCTGTAGACAATGGGCAGCGCCCCTGAGACAAGAAAAGAAACAGAGGAGAGTCAGCACAGAGATGGGGCGCCCTACTCAGCACGATGCAACGCCTGGTGCAAGCCACAGTGACACAGAGGTCATATTGTTTGTAAAGAGACACTGCTCATTCAGAGGGTGGTGAGCAGCAGTCACATCCTCTTATGTTTAGCCACTGCCTGTTGGTGTGTTAGATACAGCACTCAACTCGTTGAGCAGTTTTCTGTGTGCTCCTGATAAAACTACGTTTTCAAGATTTGGAAACTTTGGTGAATAAAAAATTGAGCAGGAGGAATTTGCATAAATGTATTAAACCCATATGGAGAGCTAAAAACATTTCAGTTGTATTATACTCACTTAGAACTCAAAGGATTTGTCAGGTATTCCATAAGTCGATAGACAAACACGTAATCAGTAACTATGGTTTTAACGCTTTGTTTATTTGTGACTACTATGGTACTGGGTCATGATTCAGTGCACTTTGCCAAACATAGAATACTATGTATGTATTAGTATGAAGCACAACATTTAATTTCACCATTAAAAGTTCCGACCGGAGACTTTTTGCTGTAAAACCGTTAAGAGATGCTGAGGTTAGCACAACAAGCGAAAGAGCTTGCACAAAGATAACACAGGTGCTGAAAAATGTGGGATATGACGGTCAAGCAGGTGGATTTCATTCATTTTTCATTTGACTTAGAGCTAAGCTGCATGGTTAGTTTATAAAACACAGATATCCAGGCCGTTTCTCAATCTCGAGGAAACTGGCTTCAAGCCAATATTTCAAGGATGCTACGTCATCGAGTGCCGCCGAAGTACTGTTCCAATCTCCAGCATACTTGGAATTCCACCGAGGCTGCGTCCTTGGTTTTGGGGAAATTTCGAGGCTGCATATGGGTAGACTTTGCGTCCTTCAAATCCCCACAATGCTTTGCGCACGGACGGTTGGTAATATGTTACTTTGTTGCATTTGTTTGTTATCACCAAAAATGTGTTCCGTGAAAGTAAAGCAAGTTCATAATTAGATAGACATCGTGAGGTATTTATTTTCGGTACAGTTTATGTTGAAAGAGAGTGGCACACTTGTTAGCATGTTCCATTCTTCTTCGTTTTCTGAAGCCGTGGCTTGGAAGCATACTTGCTTCGTTTCTGAAGTGACTTGGAAGTACGCAACTACCAAGCCAGCATCCTCGCGATTGAGAAACGGCCCCAGTCTCAAGTCACAATATTAATTATAAGTGTATTATCATCAGCATATGTTTATATTGGCAATCTAAATTGTTTTAACCAAAGTACATAAATAAGTAAAAATACTGCATTTGTCATTTTAATAGGCTATTACAAGCAGCATGAATAGATCAATAATCAACTTGGATCATCTCTTACATTGGCTAACTTACTCGGTAGTCAAATATGTAATCAGTGTTTGAACACCTCAGAGCCAAACACTTCCATTGTAAATCATTGAAAATCAATAAAGAGTACTTCCACCCTCAAAATAAACAGATCAGCAATAACACAAGGCAGGCAAAATTATAAATGGTGAAGAAATCTGCTGAGCTTACCCAACGTGTTGATCATGCAGATTCCACACACGTCGAGTTTGAGGAGGGTGTGGTAGACGGGCTCCCCCCCCTCGTGGTTCATGAAGAGGTGGTAGAGCACAGAGCCCAGCTGGGGCGACAGGCAGGCCAGGAAGTGCACCACACCCAGCCACGTGACACTGATCTGAGACCAGGGGATGTTGAGCGGCAGCAGCACCAGGAAGCACACCAAAGGGATGCCTGGAGAAACAGAGAAAGCACAGGTTGTTAGAGGAAGTTTACTTAAGTAAAAGATGAAGCCAATGTGTAGCTCCCGTCAGGGCTGCACACAAAACAAACATGAAACACTTTTAAAAAGGGAGATGCTGCACTCAGTCATGTTTTTAATTAATCTAGAGATCTTCAGTACATTTTTCACACTAAAATGTGTGAAACACATCATTTTGAAGGATTATTTACTGTTAGAATTTTTTCTTGTGCCTGAGGTAATGTGCACCTGGTCCGAAAGCCATCAGCTCAAAAACAAAAAAATAACACTGTAACTTTGATAAATCCAATAAAGTGTCATGTTTATTTTTGATGGATTATCTAGCTCAGGACTTTCGAGGCCTGTGCATGTTATTTTTCATACAGTGCTGAGTGTGTGCAGACACCAGCAAGAATAATTTGCAAGAGGGCAGAAATCTACATCATTGTCACCTTGTGAGCGGAAAAACAAAGCCACGGCTAACTATATTTTTTTTATTCAGCTAAGAGACATATTTAGAATGGCCTCATAGCTTTAATGTATGTTTCCCTTTTGGGGAGATGTGTTTACTGCTATGTTAGCAGAAATATAGACCTTGCAATTTGATACACATACAGTTGTTAGGATCATTTATCACTCTACAGCACACATACTGCACTCCATTCCTTTTTTTTGCTCACTCTGCTGTTCCCAATGTCAAGGCATTTGTCCCGGCCAGGTGATACTGGCATTGCGTTCTACTGTAACACATCTATTTTAAGTGTGTTATCTGTGCTCCTCCCCCCACTCGTCCTGAGCCGAGCGGCCAAGCTGAATCCCATTCAGGGTTAAATACAGTAGAGAGGGCCTCCTATGAAGTCATGAACGCAGTGAAGAGTCTGCGAGCTGAGCTGCGGGCAGGATGTTTTCAGTTTATATGCAAAAGAGTCAACAGGAACCAGCTCGTGAAACTTATATAAAATGTTACAACACAATAAAAGACTCATGAATTGCATGCAAAGCTCTGAATCTGTTCTTCTTAGTTCAGAAAACTGGACAAAAGCTTGTTGCCCTAAACATCACTGCCTTATATAGGCAATAGTGTTAAGGGTGTCTGCAGGCCACATGCTCAGCTGACGTAACAGGAGTGTTATAAGATTGCACAGGGCTACTTCCCTGATGATCACTTCTGCAGTTTATTCTGTGACGGCTGGCATTTAGAAGTGAAGCAATTACCTTCACAATGAGGAAGTTGTCAGACTCGCAGGAGTCTCTGTGAACACACTGATGAGGTACTACACCTTCCTACAGCTGTAGGATGTGTGTTATTGGTATTATTTCTAAATACAGTCAATGGTATTAAGAGGTCCTGCTACTGTGGGGCATGCTATTGGCAGTGAAATCAGCCTGAAAACAAGCCGACACATCAGTCTCACCACTGGCTGCACTGATTAACATATTACTACAATTAATGTTGCCTTGCACAAGCCTATCAACAGATTGACATTGTTGTGTAACCATGACATTTTTACCACATCGAAATGCCACTCAGAAAACAAATGTAAGGCAAACTTCTGCCTGTAAGCAAAGAACACACACAACTTTTTAAACTTTTTATTCTGAGTGCCTGTGGAAAAGTGGTGAAAAGGGTACTCACATCTTTTACTTGAGTACTAGTAAAAGTTCTGAATTCAAGATGATATTTTATAAGTAGAGATGTACTTAAAAAAGACCCCTCTTTTACTCTTTTAAGGTAGCTGGTTGGGCTCAAGACCATTTTTACCAGATGATAGAGCTGTAACAACTCATCTTTAATCAAGAGAAAGAAAAAGTAAACTTGAACTATTATGATAATCCCTAATAGTTTCTGTCGTTTTCAAGTTATATCAAGAGGATTTGCTACTTTTTTACCTATAGGTTTTGGATTTTTGCTAGGACACAAGACATTTAAAGACATAACCTTAAAGGTGGGGTAGGTAATTTTGGAGAAACCAGCTCGGATTACACACACACACACACACACACACACACACACACACACACCTAAACCAATGAGGCCAGGTAGCGCCATCCAGTATATTTTAAAATGATTGGTCGTGCTTTTTACAGTACTATGGCTTCCACAGATGACATTTTTTTATGGATTTTTTGTCAAAGCACTTAAGATATTCATCGCTATCGGCATGTTAAGAGCATTCCATCGAATATAACAAAAAGTGTATCTCGAGCCGGTTTCTCAAACTTACCTACCCCACCTTTAAGCATTAAAGGTTTTCACCATTAGTGTATGTTTCAAAGTCTAGACAACATGCACTGATTAATCCAATAATATGCCAAAAACAGTCCTTATGTTGCAGACAAAAGTTTGTTATATTTTACATTAACCTGGCATTATATTCCAGTTTTTATGTTTATATCCACTTGTTTAGCACACTGTGATGCAATTGTTGGTGCTGTACAAATAAATACCATTATTCAAATATGAATATGAATAACTTATGCACATGGTCAAAAATGAAGAGGTTATGTCATGTATGCCTTTATGAACGCAAATGGTCCATGCATTAGTGCAGAGTCTGGCTGGCATCCTTCCGCAGGAACAGTACTGCTGTGGGTTAATACCTATGGTTAATACTCAAAGTCACACAGAAATCTCACCTGCTGACTAAGCAGTTCATGCTGAATTGTTGTACTCACCGTGAGTGTATATGTTCCCAAGTTCATTGTGCAGGTAGAACAGGCTTCTGATGCAGTCTTGCACAGAGGAGCTTGGCCGGTATCCCGTTAGGACGTATTTGTTGAACTGAAGATGAGGGGGTGAACTCGCCCAGTCCAGCAGCCTGGGTCCATTCAAATATGCCATAGCAAACAACCCCGTCAAAAGGACCCCGCCGAAAAAGTAAAAAACAGACTGTACACCTATATACACATTTAATAGGATTATTGCGACTAAAACCTTATGGGATACCATTGGTGTTGTTTAGGGGTTCTATCTTGTGCTGTAAGCCTCCTAGCTTTGGCGCTAGTCTCTCAACACGGTGTTATCAGCGCCGCCGCTGTTCGCTCTGAAACGCCGGTACCTGTGTGAGTGTCATCCGCGAGGCTGGAGACAGACACGGCCAGCCACGTACATGGTGCGAGCTCGGGACGGTCATTACATTTGGCATCTAAAAAATGTCTGTGAAGCACCTAAAAGCTTGCAGCGATTGAGAGGCAAATTGTTCCTCGTCATGTTAAAGCCACTTCCTCGTTAGTTAGCATTCCGGTGAAGAAGCAGCAGGACGGGTTTGAACGCCTCCCCGGCGGCAGGGATGCTGTGAGAGGTCCATCCAACTCCAGAGGATGCTAGCTCCTAGCGGTCAGATCTGCAGTAGAGGACTAGCAGGTCATAGCTTTAGTGTTATGAGAGCAACCCGGAGCAGATGCTCGGGTCGGTACATTTAATGCTGAGTAGCTTTCGGAAAGCGTTATAAGAAGAAAAAACTGATGAGATCCGTGATTCTTGAGCAGAGATTTTGGGAAGGTCTGCGGGCTAGCAAGCCGGGCAAGTCGGCTACCGATGTCCAGTGACTGGGGATGAGGAAGCAGAAATTTGAGCCAGGTGATTTAAAACACATACGGTCCGGTCCGTAAAGCGTACATTGACTTTCTTCCAAATCTGTTTCACACATTATTTCCCAACATTATTTGAGGCCGGCTCTATTCCTTGAAATGCGGAATCTTCCCTGGCGGCCTTTAAATCCCCTGCATTGCCTTTACACAACTGTCAAGCTAGAGATAACAACAACAACGACACTTCCGCTCACTGATTTCAAAATAAAACGGGCCACAATATTTAGCGTAATCCTCACATTAGAGAAAACTGCTCACTCTGTAATTTTATGAACGAAACGCTAGAACATTTGTTTATTTACTGTGTACAGTTGGATCTCTTTTTGATTGGATCTTAAAACTAATTTTGATAAGGAAATCTTACTAAAGGAACCCGATTTGATTCATATTCAACAGTCCCAATTTCTCCAGCAACAATAGATGTTACTGAAAATTATTGCCCATCTATTTGTCCACTCCTTGCCCTGTCAGCTCACGTGATATTATACTGTCACTCACTTTACTTGGACTACTTGCCCCTTACTACATAAATATCCTTATTATACCTGTTTTTTTATCTTTCTGTCCGCACCAGGCAAATATAAATGTGTTCCTCTACATAATTTCCTTGACTTTATAGAGATGGATGACAATTAAGTATCTCTTATGTAACTATCATGTGTTCATTGTTGTGTATGGCAGTTTATATGACCAAATAGCCAATGTATGCTCATTTTAATTCATTTCTTATTTCATAGTTCTATTTGTATCTTTAATTGTATTAACCTGTGTGAATCTGTGCTGTCCTGTTTTTCATCCTTAACCTGTTGCTGTTTGAACTACTGAATTTCCCCACAGGGATTAAAAAAGGTCCATCTCATCTTGTTGGGATAAAACTATTCCTAGGTTTTCTTAGTGTCAATTTGATTAAATACAACTCCATTAAAGAATATGCACTATGCAAGATCTAAAAATCGAACATTTTAAATGCAGAGAGATGCTAAACCTCTGCAGTGCAAGAGTCATTTTAACTGTTGGTGCATATTCTCTAACACATTTGCAATTAACCAAATTACCCAAGCCAACAGGCACATAGTGACCGAGTAGTTTTCCTGGAACTCCAAACAAAATGCCTTCTATGCCCACTTTGTAATCCATCATTTTTCTTAATAAAACACACATTATTTATAATCTGAATATTTGAATAAAGATCACATTTTATTTTGAAGGCGAACAGTTTTCACCTCTGGTCTTATTCTGTTTCACTGGGACCGCTTTCATGCTGCTCGGCGGCACTGGCAGCAAATGCCGACACTGACTGAACAGCTGCCTTCAATACAGACGGAAATAGTGCACTTAGCAAAAAATCTCACATTGTAAACAGAAATAGCGTAATTTCTTAGTTATAACTAGATACACATAATTGAATTAAAGCAAAATGTGTTCTTTCTTTAGAATACTTTGGAGAAAGAATAAGACCAGCCCTTCAATCGTGTGTCCAAAGGTCAAGACCAACTTGATTTATACAAGACATGACAAATACAATTCACGATTATAGAATAGACCTATTCTATAATCGTAAATTGTATCTATAGATTTTAATCATGACGAGAAACGCTTTTGCAGCTGCAGTTCTATACATGAGTTACTATCCAGACACATGACACTATGAGTCCAGAGCTCAAATCTCTGTGCTTGATTTATTTGAATTTCAAAAATAATAAAGTACTTTCATAATAGGCTTGATTTTTATTATTGAGTGTTTTTGTGTGTCTTTTAACAATGAAAACGTTTAAAACATAGGGTGTATGTGTGTTTCCAATAATACTGCACAAAACCCAGTCATGCACTTGGATTTAGACTTTCCCGGGGTTCACTTGAAGGCAGCAAGTGACGTGCAGTAATCCTCTAATAGAAGAGAAGTGAGGATCTGCGGATGAATCACACCACCTCAACCTCTCACCCCTCGGCTGCCTGGACCTTTCGCCATGTAGAAGCCCACAGCCACACCTCTGTGGGGCTGTGACGAACTAGGCCCCCCTCCCTCACTCTGGACCAACCAAATGTCACTTGTTTATCATATTAATGTATGTAGTTAACATTAAAGTATCCAAAACCACAGAATGTCGGGGAGGGAAGTGGAGAATCCAGTATAACGTTAATGTTGAAATCGATGCTTTTTTGTATTGATTACTTTGTGTTGCCTTGATCTGTAATATGTAGCATAACCTCTTATAAATGCTCTTACAACACATTTTTATACTATCCATAATTTACTTAATATAAATCTAATGTATTCATAATGTATATGTCTGGCTTGATTTGACTGATTTGTTATATATATATATATATATATATATATACTGTATATAACATTTGTATAATTTAATTTGGTTAGACAAGGATTTATTTTAATTGTACATAAATATTATTTTCAGTGTCAATATTTGTAGCTGAAAGGTCAAATTGTTCTCAACCTGGCTCACTAACATTTTAACTTAGGCCATCATATAAAATTTCAAAAAACAAATGTTGTTTGGGAAAGTCTTGAGAAATCTATAGTGTCAGTCTTCTCTTCTCACCTAGATGGCCACATACCACTAAAACTTGAAATAATTTCAGGCTCACATATAGATAAAAAAAAGTGTGATATCAATTTATTTCAACCGCCTTTATTGTCTCTAAGACCACTGTCACCTCACTCCCTCATCGCGTCCTGCCCTTAATCCGCGTCTATAAAAACACGTTTTGAAAGAGATGCACAGTCAGATTCAAGCATTGGATGTGGGACGTGCAAGGACGAAAGGTTAGTGACAGGTAAGCTGATTTGCTCTTTTTGCTTTGGACAGTATGAGTAAAAGAAAATTGTCCGACCATCCTAAATATTGCTTTTCAAACAAAGTGCGAATGCATTGCTCATGAATTATATTTCTTTTCCAGGAGATCAGCTTGTTTTCATCACCTTACTTAACAGAAACATGTTTCTGTTAAATATGTGCATCTATGCCAGCCTCATGCTGTCCCTCCCTCGGTGTACATATCAATCCTGCACAGAGGGGACGCCCAGACAGTGTCTCAATGCAGAATTTGCTCCAGGTACCAATTTGGCCGGCGAAGGCTTTGATATCACCAATGCATTGAGACACTGTCTGGGCGTCCCCTCTGTGCAGGATTGATATGTACNTTCTCAGAATTAGATTTTTTTTTAAATAATTTTGTAACATTCTCAGTGAAGAGACTCGCAATGATTTGCCCTAGACTTCTGCTTTCAGACGTAGTTAATTATGAAGTTATTACCCTATCCGATAATAATCCAATGCAGAGGTAATAACATTATTTTATTTATATGAAATATTGATATATGTATTTTGATATATAGTCTTAAAGTTACAACCGGCCCTTTGACTGCAATCACAATGCTGATGTGGCCCGCGAAGAAATTGAGTTTGACACCCCTGCATAGGATTTACACAGTGTATGAAAGCAATGCTGCTCCAAGATATCATGCACTAAGAAAATGTTCACAGAGTCCATTATTATTTATATCAAAGTTCCATAGAGTACTTTGAGGATTTTACCAGACAACCTTACATTAGATGTCAAAGCACGGATCCAAAAACGCTCTTTACAATCTTAAAGTGGATAGTGTAGTTTTTGATTGAAAACCTAAACACTCAATAAAACCAAGGACAAAATGTGCCACTATCTCAACCTTACATCTTTACAATATATGGAAATCAAAAGCTTTAAATTGCAGCAGATTGTCATCAGTATTGAAGTTGAGGAACTGTATAAGATATATAGAATGTCAAGAGGTACAAGGCAGTGCATTATATAAAAACATGTACAACTCCCAAGCTGCATTAGGGTGAGAAACATCAAACAAGCTTTTATATATGTTGCCTGTGTGTGCACCACTATAGTATTTAGTAAAAGACACTCAAGTCAGATTGTCTTTATTTGACTGGGTCATCATTGGACAAACTCTGCAATCAAAGAGCTGCCTTGTGTATATATTATGGTAGCTGGAGGTATAAGCCACCAATGCCAATCGGACATAAAAACAGCATTTTTCAATCACAAATGTGAAGAATATGAAACAGATCAGCAAAAACCTACATTATAGTTGAATTGCCCTTGAAGAGACTAGCAAGAATAGGCTAGACTTCAAAAGTATCCAAACACAATATTGCTTTCCCTTTGCTTCAGACTCTCTCAAAGCCAACCTTAAAAACTGCTGAAGGTAGAGCAGAGTTGACGACAAAAATGTTTCTAAAATAAATTGCGTAAACAAGCTTTAGTTATCTCAGAGACTTCCATGTTTCAATGCTCAGGATCAATGAGAAAATCAGTAAAAAAGAAAAGGGAACATTAGGGAAAACATTTCCCAATCATCCTTTCTCAACAAAGCAGCTTCTCCACCTTTGCCCACTACATATACAACATACCCGTCTACATATTGTTGAAATATATAATTGAACTGCATTTCAGGGGTTCGTTTTTTCAAGTTGATGCTTGTTTTCAGAAATTGGTAGCAAAGAATATAAACATGCAGAACTGTAACAATAAAAAAAAAATGTTAAACCTAGTGTTACTTACCAAACGCATGTTGTGTTGTGTAGCATGTTGAACACATTTCCTTTCACCTTAAACACTTGCAAAGCCCTTTTAAAAAGTGTTTTAAATCCTTAATTCCTTGCAAATGTTTGTTATCTTGCAGTATTCTTCTTGTATGTCTTTGTCGGTGCATCCCTGTGTGTCTTAACCCATTAGCGCCGCCTGCAGGTCACTGGAGTAATAATAATAAAAAAGGGTCTCTGGGGATTGTCACGTTTTTCAAATAGACTCAAGACTTACTTACAACATGTAAAGCAATTCATTTATTTTGCCTTTCAAAGTGGTATTCAAAAGTATTTTAGTGTTACAACTAGGGCCGGGACTTTAACGCGTTAATTAAGATTAATTAATTACACAAAAATGAACGCGTTAAAAAAATTAACGCATTTTAATCGCACTTATTTTTGTACCGTGGAACGTTTCTCACTGGATGAGTTTCAGGGGTACCGATTATACTGGAGCACCAACTAACGTTCATGACTTCAGACAACAACAAACCACAGTGAACAATAGTGGAACGAAGAAGCTGATGAGACCGCTTTGGTTGGCCCCGTGGATGGGACATTTTGTTTTAAAAAACGGACGGATGGAAGCGTCGATAAGAGCACGGTTGTTTGCNAATAGCTTATTATCAAAATGAAAGACTGAACACAACAACGGTACCTGACACACATTTGTAGCTGGGTCCTTTATATTGTACCCAGCAATTGGCATTCTGCAGTTGTCAAAGTTTGAGATTTGGTGAGGCTTTACTGTTTAAGAAGTGCTTAACTAACTGTGACATCATCCAATGGTTTGTGGACTACCATTTGAAGACCCCAGATGAGCATTTCTTTCCCATTGCCATCTTGTTTTTGGAACCCCAGGTAAACATCTTTGTTTACTCTCTAGAGCAGGGGTGTCAACTAAATTTCTTTGCGGGCCACATCAGCATTATGGTTGCACTCAAAGGGCCGGTTGTAACTTTAAGACTATATATCAAAATGCATATATAAATATTTAATATATATAAAATAATGTATTACATGACATTATTGCCTCTGCATTGGATTATTATCGGATAGGGTAATAACTTCATAATTAACTACGTCTGAAAGCAGAAGTCTAGGGCAAATCATTGCGAGTCTCTTCACTGAGAATGTTACAAAATTATTTAAAAAAAAATCTAATTCTGAGAAAAAGTGAATATTTTGAAGAAAATAAATCAAATTCTGAGAAAAAAACTTGTTCTGAGAAAAAAAGTAAAATTCTGAGAAAAAAGTCAAATTGTGCTTCTGTGAATCTGCATGTAACCGTATAATAAACATATTATGTTCTTTGCAAGCTCTTGAGGGGCCGCATTAAATGAAGCCGCGGGCCGGATTTGGCCCCCGGGCCTTGAGTTTGACACCCCTCCTATAGAGTCTTTCACTCCATTCAGTCTGAATTCAGCATGCAGACACTTTATAAATGCCAGCTTGCCGAGTAAACTTTACTTTCGTATACCTTCAAGGTAAAACAGAAACCTGTTCTTTGTGTGTGTTTATGTGAGAATTCCCCGTGGACTGCTGTGAGTTCGCTCAATTGTAGCTTGAGTGCACCTTAATGTGTGCGTGGCAGCAGGACGGCAGGAGGTCGCTCTGTTTGGGTCAGAATCGACTCTCAAACCAAACGCTCAGCGCCGAGCCGCAAACCGCTCCTTTTTTGTCCCAAGACGTGCGGCCTTGATACAAACATTCAACATATTCACAGCTGCAATTTATTTTCCACTACGTAAAAGTAAAAGAGAAACAATGGTGATTACTTTTCAGTGACAGAAAATGTACGTTTTCAATCTGCCTCTTTCACTGAAATAACTCCGGAGCGGTTGCTCATTGGACGGAGAGCTTGTGGAAAGATTTGAGGTGTGTGTGTGTGTGTGTGTGTGTGTGTGTGTGTGTGTGTGTGTGTGTGTGTGTGTGT